GTGGTGGAAGGTGCGGTTGATTTGGACACGAGTAAGTTTAGTGATGTGCAATGGGTAAATACCCGACGGGTAGGTAAATATTTTGGGTATTTACCCACTATAATATTTACCTACCAAGATGTTGGTTAAATATTTAGTTAAATTTTTATAAATGTTAGTTATATTTTAATAAAACTTTAAATCATTTAGCTTATTGCAATTGATAGCTATAGTTATTGTCAAACATAATCTTTTTTATTATTTTATTGGAAAAGTCAGGAAACAATCATAAAAAAAGTATTGTGATATCCATGGATTGGTTTTAGCATAAATAATAAATTTACCCAATTTACCTGATTTACCTGAATTATATTTACCGGGTATTTGCCCATCACTACTTATGTGTGGCAAGGATTTGTCACTAGGAACCCGGGTGATCACCCATCCGGGAACTAGTGAAGCCGGCTGGTGCGTACACTCAGAACACTTTTCATGGCTGAATACACACACCGCTCCTGTTCCCACAAGATAATATGTTTTTAAATTGTATGGCTACCCAGTATCCAGTGCCCAACCAGACGTAGAAAAATTAGAGTTACCAATGCAATGTCAAAGTTCACTTTGTCATCAACAAAATTCACATCTGTTATTTCATATGATATTGGTAATAGGTGTGTTTTTTTTTAATTTTAACATCTTCAAATAGAACCACGTGAGAGTTATTGTTGTTGCAGTTATTAAACATTGTTTGAACTATTAAAAATTGTGAAAAGTGAAAAACTAGTTACGGTCTCAACACAAACTTTGGAACATATTGTTGAACATTGAATGTAGCTTGAGTATGTATTTTCTTAACCCATTTATCTATTATCTTTATTGCCAATTATAAGAGAAACCACTTATTCAATGCACCTCAAAATAATATAAAAATTTTTTTTAAAAAACACTTTTCTAAAAAAACAAAAAAATAATGAAAAATTTAAAAGTGTGTGGTATAATATGTCAAGTGTAAGAGCGCCACACACTTTTAAATTTTTCATTATTTTTTTGTTTTTTTAGAAAAGTGTTTTTTAAAAAAAAATTTTTATTTTTTATTTTCTACTTTTTAGTTAAATAATTTTTTTACGGATTATTGTATTGTCATCCAAGACCAAGGTCTATACCAATTTTCAGAATTTTTCATCTTCAAAAAGTGCCTCAAATCGAGCGCGCAAGATTTGATCACAGACGGACGTGAAACCAAACTTAAGAAAAGTGTTAAAAAGGCCATGATTGCAATATTTATAAAAACGCTATACATATTTCTTATATTTGTCGTAACCAATCACAGAGGGAAACTTTGTGTAAACATGACGATCAGACGTCGATGGCCATGGTTATATGGTATATAATAATATGTACATTATAGCTTTATTATTGTCGCTTTTCCACGATTATCGGTATTATATTTTAAACAGTGGTAGTGTGGTCATGTAAATTTTAATAAATATTTAATATGTTGGTTGTATTTTTCAAATAAAGTCTCAATATTTTATTATGTACAGTTTAGTTTAGTTTACAAGTTATAAAAAAAAAGCTGGTAAGTGGATGTCGCTCTGTTGCTCCGCTCAGAATCTAATATTAATTTATGTTAAAATCGGTTGGTATAAATATATAATAGGTAGTATGATGGCATTAGGTATTTAGGCTAATGCTATATATTATAAATGTACCATATAGAAATGAACGTAAAGTATACACTATTCGTGACAGCAATTATTAAGTAGGTATTTTACGGCCTATGCATGATAATATTATGTTACACAATTTATACACATACAATTTTCAAAAAAGAGTACAGTATAATATTATGTGTAAATAAGTATATAATATGATTTATATTAATAAGTAATAAAAAATAGTTAGCTATTTTAGATTCTGAGTGAAGCTATGGATTTATTGGTTTTACAACGGTACCTATATATGTGTTTTATTTATTTTTCGTGTCTGCGCAGTCTTTATATTTTGGAGTACTAAAAATGTGGTACTCCGGGAGGTAAAAATAGTAATAACTCTAAGTACTATCGTAATTCTCGAGAAAAAATCAAATCACGAAAAAATAAGTAGATTGTATATTTATAGTATTCACACTAGAAAACTAAACCAATATAGTGTTTCATCGATTTAATTTTTGTTATTATTAAAAAACAAATAACCCTAGTGCTTTGACATTTTCATCAAAATATATATTTTATGTTAAGAGTACATTAAGATTAAGAATTATGAATACTCTTATTTTCATAATATTTTCTTTTATCGTACTGCCAATCGGTTACTGATTACTGATTACTGGTTAATAATAATATATTCAAGGAGTGTAGCCTATATTTGAGACGCACGAACAGTTATTATACTATCGTTTCACCAAAAGAAAAAAATACTGCTTGACTTTGTATTAAAACAAATTAAGGTACATGCGCTGGTTGGTTCTTTTTAACTATTAAATATTCGAAATGATTCAATTTTAACCGCCCCCCGAAAATTTGTCCCAGCCTTGATAGGTATATTATGTATAACTATAATAGGTATATGTAATTATAATGTATATGTTTCACGTATTACATAAATGGCATAATATGCTTTATGTCAATGTCACGTATTTATTATGTGAATTTAAAACGCGTGCAGACTGCGATTGACGAGCAATATGGAATATATAGGTACTTGAAAGTTGAAACACATAAAGCGGACAACGGAATATTACAAATTACTGTAAAAACATAATATCGTTGTTACTCAACGCGCGCGTTGACCCAAACTGTTTGCAGCTTTTATTCGCTATTTCAGCTAGAGCGGAAATTTATACAACACAGTGTATGACTATTGTTATACCTACTTTTTATTATTATTGTTACCTATTTATTATTACCAATATTTGTCCACCAGCCACGACGGTTTGCCCAGCACCTTCTACGTACGATCGCCCTTCGGAAAGCCTACGTGCGATCCCATTCGCGTGCGTACATATAAATTTACAATATTAATATTCTAATCGATCGAATCGTGTGTGTTTGGTGGCGGACGATTTTGTTCTAATATATTGGACGTAGCGATGATGAGCTGATGACGAATTTATTAACCGAGGTCAACGAAAATATTATTATACTCGTGATTATAATAATAATAATAGATATAATATGATAATAAATTATGCGCAGTAGATCGCATAATACGTATCATCATATCTATATATATTATATATATTTTTGATAGTACCAATAGCTGATGATGATCAGAGCTGTGAATTTGTAGAAAAATTATTTTCATTATTTTTGGAGTGCTGCAAAACATAGCTTCTTTAACACAATATTTGAATTACTGACTTTTTGAGATTTTTCAATGCATTCAATTCACAGCCCTTCATTATAATATTATATAGGCTATTTATTTTTGCTATTATGCTATAAGACGGTAGGTAACCATAGGTGACAATTTTTTTTTTCTGTAAACGATTGGATGACCAATTTATTTATTGTGTTATTATAACTTCAGAGTTCAGATTCTTTTGGCAAATCTAAAATAAATGTGTTTTTGACTGAGACAAACATTGTAGTGCTGAAGGTAATGACCGGGGATACCCTTTATATTGTAAACTGTCGGGCTATATGATTATGATTGGTGTTTGTACAAAATAAAATTTCTGTTGACTATAGTAAAATATTATATTATATTGAATGGATTATTTATCGGACAGCCATCAAATAGGTCAAAGCCCTCAAATGTAGGTATATTTGTATTATGGTTGGTGTGTGTGTGGATTGTGGATACACTTTTTATGTGTTTGTTGGTTTTGAATGTTTTTTTTTATGAAAACCCTTAACGGAATAATAGGTACGTTACTCAACCCTGAAAATTAACGGAATATTACTTATTATTCAAACATTTTATGTTATACTCAATTATAATATTATTATGTATAGTTATAAGCAATTATGTATAAAGTTAATTTTATTTTGTAAGTTGTGAACTTTTTTAAGTACCTACTGTTATCAATCTGTAAAAATTTTTTTGTAAAATAATAAATAATTTAAATTCTGTATCTGAATGCATCTGTCAGTATGTCTTAATCAGATAGATCTGATCAATTTGTCAAATATAATAATTTCTAAGCTACGTATTCATATTATTCTAAAATGTTGACATTCGGTAATTTAATATTTCTTTTCCATGTTAAATTATAAGTGTCTAGTCCGTTTGTATTAATTTACGAAAATAACAAATACTTTTGCACTACTTACCAAGTGGCGTATTTATGAATTATTCATGGGGTCCACATAATTTTCCCAACACAAAGCTGTGAGTTACATTTATCTTCTCGTAAAAAAAAAATGTAACATCATATTATAATCCCTTGAACTCTTGTCTCTTCCCATGATAAATACGTCACGGTACTTACTACTTACCTACCTATTACAAAAAGTAAAAGTTTAAAAAAACACTCATCATTCAATCATTTTAAAATCTATGGATTTTTCAGCTCCCGATTGACTCGTGTCCGCCCTGCAGAATTTGAAATGAGGATGTATTTATTGATTTATGAGTTATAACTCATATTCTATATTATTATTAGGTATAGTGTTTAATAAAGTTTTAAAGTCGATAATACATAATTTTATTATAATATTGATTAAACATGATTCAATACTAAACTATAACAATTATAATATTAAATAATTAACATATTCAATTTTATTTTTTCTGATTCCATACTTACGAGTTTACGGCACGACACGTTATTAATTATAATACATTTATAGTTACAATACTACGTATTTAACACTCGATCAAATAATAAAATATAAATGATAATCACATGAATATCTATTTTAAATAATTAATACGATACCTAGGTATTACAAAAAGGCCCAATTTGAATATTATAACGATAATGTTGAAAACTTAACTTATGAGACATGACGTCATGACTTATTGTTTGTATAATATTACTGATGCAAAGAAAAGTGAGTTGAACTATCATTTCACTAGATATTTGGGTCGTCATCCTTGGGTATGTACTTATTGATTTTAAATCTTTTTTCGCCGAAATCTAATCCAACACTCTTGACGTTTACCTGCCCATAATCATCTATATAAATAATCATATTGTACAGATCATGACGGTCCATTTTTTTATCGATTACTTTCGGAAGTTCGCCTCTTAATTTTAAGGAGTTCATAATTTCACGAATTTCTGTATCATCTAAGTTCTTGTAGCTGTGTGACACTTTCGTTATCTTTTCTTTGGTGGCGTCAAAGAATGTCGTCAAGAAGTCCATTATTTTTGTCCGTGTAGCCTGTATCATGTTTGTTTTTTTGCTATCCAACATGTCCTTATTTTCATCGAGAAACTCATTGATGCCATCGTTTAACTGCCTGAAAAAATCTATTGGATGGCCGAAGAAGGCCGCTTTGCTGGCAAAATTCACCAGCGACACCTGGATCTTGGATATACCGACCCGCATAGACGCCGGGTCGGCCTCCTTGCGGTCGGCGAACTTGGACGCCAAGTACGAGTGCACCATCAACGTGGTAATGAACTGATTGACGAGCGCAATGCCCAGTACCCGTATGCCGTACATTAACTGCGTGCCCGTCGTGCTCCTGCGGGTGACCAACCGCTGGATGATCGTATGCGGCGTGATCCCGGTGCCCGGTGCCGGAGTCAGGTCCAGCTCGTCCAGCTTCCCTTCAAAGTCCACCTCTCCCGGATCCAGTTGCTGGGTGAGGATTGTCTGCCATTCCCGGTCGTAGGCCAACACCCCGCGGAGTATGTTGGCGGCCGCTTTCATCGGTTCGGGCGTGAACACGAAGCACCGGCCGACGGCCACCAGGCCGCTCAGGACCGCGACGCACACCCACAGAAAACGCATCGTCGACGGGCGGACTCGGGCGGTGGTTTCGAAACTGCGGTATGTACGGCTGCCGAGAATTTTCCACCATAGTGGGACACACCGACCCACATACCCACCACAAGTGGGTGGTGTGACATTGCAATACGCGAGTATGTGTGCAGCCGGTTGTTTGTTTTCGCCGAAACCGCCGAGCAGAGCAAACATCGTTCTCGCACTTGGAACGTTTGGTTCAGCGACATGTGCGCATACCTACAAAATGTGTTCGACAATTTTTTTTATTAATATAGGCATTTATTGCAATCAATAGCCTCGCGCCATTAGGTATATATATAGTATATTGCTAATACGTTCATAAAGTATAATAACCAATAAGTGTTGTTGTGTTTGAACCATAAAAATTGACAACAATTCCCGGGCCGGGCTTGGTGGTTGTTGCCTTTTTTATACTGGTTACGTGGATTCCTTAAAAAATCTTCACTTCGATATCGACACTGCTTGGTTCATGCAGTAGTGCAGGTATATGATTCCTTTGACTGTGTATATTTATTTATATTTTATTCGAAATACGTAGCAAGGTAGGAGCGTTAGCCGCAGTACAGTTATTATTATCATTACAACGTCATAATTAAAATGTATTAAATGTGCAATATTATTGCCCGGGTTGAATAAAAAAATGTACTAATTTAATGGTTCATGATGGCCATTATGTTTAAGTTTATGTCATGTTTAAGGTACCATTATCTTACTACCGCGATACATTAAATGATAAATGATTATTCATGAAATGAGGCATAATAAATGGATTTTTCCTCAATTCCTCGGTGCCGGAGCAGCCTGGATTTACTGAACTAAATATAAAATAAAAATATAATTCAGTGCCCGGATTAGAGGGAGGGAAAACAGGAAATTTTCCAAGTCTCAAAAAAAATTTGAATTGGAAATTGAAAAACAGACATTATTTACTTTCGTTTGTCTTGTCAATCTCAGTGTGATATAAAATATTTTAATTTATTTTTTTAAATAAATCTGGTCTTTTTATGTATGTGAAATTAGCCCCCCAACTTTGTTTGATTTTCACAAATTACATTGTAAGTTCAATTGCTCTATTTGTAAGTAAATGTAAGTGGATTTTCATAATTTGTAAGTTTGTGGGAGCTTTTTTGACATAATATTATCTGGCTGTTTATTACTATTATAAAATGTATAAAGCCGTGATCTGATACCAATACACACCAAAATTACAATAAAAGACCAAAACGTTATCAACAGTAAAATACTCAATTTATTAAATTATCTGTACTCATTTAAAGTTGTTTTTAAATTTTTATTACGAGAAAAATATTAGTTCACGTGAATTTAATTAATATATACAAGCGTATAAAGTTGCTTCAACCACCTGTAGTACAAATTATTTATTGTTTTTTTTTCTATTGTTTTATATGCAAACACAGATTTGGAAAAAGCGTTATAGAGGTAGACTTATTTCCTGCAATCACAAGTTGTATATTTTATTAAATATTACACTGTTCAATTTATTACGTCTTACAGAACACAGACTATACAGCAGTAGTATGCAGGTCGATGAAAATGCTATAGTGATTTTTAACATATTTAACTCATATATTAAACGATTTAAAACTGATAAAATAAAAATGGTTAGCTAAAAAAAATCAGTTTTAAATATTATTAAATGTTCGTGTTTTTTTTTTTTTTTTTATTATTAATTGTCTGTCAAGATTTAATATTCATTTTAACCTTTCTAGCATTTTTCTAATCTAAATATTTGGCACTCATAGTTTTTAGGTACAAAATATAAAAACTTAATTTTCGTTATTATCCTGCTTGAACGAAAATATAAAATTATTCCTAATACAATAGTTAATAAACATTATTTACTGCTAAAATGTTTCTACTTAAAAAATATTTTGTTAATGCTCCAGTCCCTGGACACCTCTCACAATAATACTGCCTTATGCATAGTAGGTATCGCGTGTATTAATTAAGTACAAATTATACAAATCGTAATACGTCAGCGGCCAGCGCGTGTCTTCTATAATATTTCAAAATGTGTCAAGAAAAAAGAATGTATAAAACATAATAATGTCACTATAATGATGTATAACGATGTGCCTAATAAATAGAAATATAGAATAGCTAAAATATTGGCATAACGCCCCTCGCACTGTGCATTGTTAATATAATAGGTTCTTTCTGCCATTGGTAATGCCATTGACCCAAACTATAAAGATACATGTTCTCGATTTTATTTTGTTTAGAATTTATCTCTGTTTACATAAGAGAAATATCCTAATAGAATAAAGGAACTGAGTGTTTGTTATTTTTGTATACTATCATATAGGGTAGTGGCGTGTACCTGAGTGTTATGTAATTATTGTAAAATATTTGAAATCATTTGAAATCGATTTTGAACTGTGTCCTGGTCAGTTCATTATTTTATAGTGTTACGGTGTATATATAAAACCGTTTTTTAAATTTTAAATCCCTAAATGCATTTATTAGAGCAAACTGCAGTATTTCAACATATGTTACGAGTATAGGTATAGCTCTAGAGCTATATAGCTGGGTCCTCCACAACCTTAAATCCGGCCCTGCATGTATGTGTAACAGTTTTTTTATACCGCAGTGTATTTACATAATGGATTCCTAGATACCTAGTTATTCGACCATAATAAGTGTAGAATATATTAATAATATATAGGTAAGTAGGTACTCTTACAAAAAACACAAAAACATTAATATCACATAAAATTAATTCTTTAAATCATAGAAACTTCTTTCTTCTAATTTGGTTTGAATCTTCGCGTATTCTTGTAACAGCAAGGTATATAATATTATTATCAAGCCAATTCAATGTCTGTGATGTTTTTATGAAAAACGACTGTCATATAGTATGCGGTCTACCGGTGAATTTGGAGGGGTATACTATGCAATCTACCGGAATATAGTATGCGGTCCACCACAAATAAATAAATAAATAATACTATAGATACAATAAGTCATTGGAAAAAATTAAATTTTTATTTACATTTCAACAAAACATATTATTTTCATATTTTTGAATACATTCCAATCGGGGTTAAACGATATTTTATTTTTATAAAGTTATTTCATTTAAAAGTAATCCGACGTGGCAGCACAATCCATCACGCGACGGTACTTCTTTCCGAATATAGCTGAGGGTAGTCACGAGTGAAAGCGGCCGTTCATGGGTAGTAAGTGTACGGGGAAGCCAGGGTCTTGGCTACGTACGGGTAAGTGGTGTACGATGAGACGTACGGGGCGGCGTGTGTGGAAGCAAGTGCGTAAGGGGCTGCGGCGTATGGGGCGGCCACGTATGGGGCTGCAGCATACGGTGAAGCGGCCACGTAAGGTGCGGCGGCGTACGGTGAAGCTGCCACGTAAGGTGCGGCGGCGTATGGTGCGGCAGCGACGTATGGTGCAGCGGCGTACGGTGCGGCGATGGCCACGTACCGTTTGCTACGATCGGTGCCTGAAACGGAAGACTGGGCCGACGGCGAAGCTGCTGAAGATTTGACTTCTTCGGTAGCGGGAGCGGCAGCGGCGAAGCACATGACTGCGGCGAGCACTGCGAAAGTCACCTGAAACACGCACAAATTGCAATTTTTTTCAGTTATTTAGAAGTTAATTATATATATAGGTGGTGATTAGGTGTTAGGTAGGTGTCCGTATTAAAGCTGGGTACGTGTAAGAAAGAATATTTATAACAGCCTGATCGTAATGGATTTCCACATGAACGTATGATATATAAGCGTCATCAGGTTGTTCCGAAACATATATTAGAGTTGTATATTGTTCAATTGTTTTAAGTATTAAGTAAGATATAATATGTTGTTTATATATACGTGTATAATGGTATTATAAAATAATTATGTGTATAATATAGTGAATTCACAATATTTAAACACACTAGAAATAAAAAAAAAGCCATAATAATATAGGTAGGACGTTTATCGTGATCGCGAAATGTTTGACGATTGAAATATCAAACGGAGAACTTATGATTTGACTTACTTGGAATTGCATGGTGATTTTGTTTATGAGTTGGATTGATTTTCTGAGTTGAATGAGTGCGACTGAAGACAGACGATTGACTGATACTTACCACAAGTCGGTTGATCCGTTTTATACCATCCGCGTTTACACAGCGCTCGGTGACAGTGACGCCCATCGTGGGCCAGTGAATTACCATTCTGAGCACATTATTCATGTCCAATTAGAAAACGGACACCGGTGCCAATATTATGTGAACAAATGAAATATATGACGTATAGTCCGATGTCGTTGTGACCTTTACAGTGCGGTTTAGAGACTTGGAGTTACAGAGGCGTGGTATTGAAAGATATATTATATTTTTTTATTTCGTTGTTAGGTATGTCGTTTGCAGTGTGTGTGGCCTTTGCTCGCATACTCGGGTGATTGTACTACCCCCGTTGACCGTTTTGTAAAAATACTTGACTACATAATATAATATAGAGTTAGGTAAATAGCTATACCAATACTTAAGCTGTTAGGAAAAATTATATAATTATACCTACGTCATATTATTATTATATGTTTTGTTTTTGATCTGAAAATACGATCCTTCACACGTGATGTTTGTATTTGTTTTTTGTAGTTTAATTTTAGTTGATACGATTAGATAGAATATAGATAAGCTAGAAGTGATGCAACAAAAGGTTCATTATCCATACGATGTACAGGGGGGAGTACTGCAAATTTAACATAACATCGTTATAAAATTAAAAAAGTTAGGGGGTCCATTAACATAGAATGTCAAAAATAGGCCACCCTAACCTATTTTCAATAAATAATCCAAAAAAATATAATTGTGTATAGAATAGAGGTGCTAATCTTACAGCAATTTATCATCATGAACGTTCAATTCAATACACAACCCACATGAGAAATATTTCAGATAGGTACTCAAGTATAGCCACGCATAATAATTAATAATTGCTAATTACCAATCGATGGCTGTTGGGCAGCAACATTTCCCTATTTAAGATTTTAATACGGTATTTAACCTATTGTTCACTTCTTATTAATTTATTATATCATTAGTATCATATTATACATATTTTATATTTAATAATATACAGTACTATTATCTATATTACTGAAAATATATTGTTGTCTGTGACGATGACGCATTCGAAAATGGTCGAAAAAAAAAACAATTTTATAATGCCTCATCCTTAACTATGAACACCCACACGCAATAAAAAATAAGAACACTTGTAATTTCGGTAAAATATTTACACTTATAATAAAAACTCTACCGTCATAAATTAAGTTCAAAAAAGTCTGGAGATGAATAATCCATTAATGTCCAGCAATAGTTACCAACAAATGTGTTGGATATACCTACATATATCGTAATATGTGTTTGTTATGTTGTGCATCATAAGACGCTAACTTAATGATGTTAAAGAATTTGTTACCTACTTACCTAAGTGAAACATTTCTTAACAACCTAAAAGTACTTAGTACATAATTGTAATTACTCGTTTATAACTCCTGTAGTGCTGTATTGTACCAGACGTTGCCGGTATGAGTACAGCGGGAAACTTTTTGTTTTGATTTTCAATTACTTTTGATAATTTGAGCTTGATTCGTATAGACCACCGGTTCTAAACCTGTGGTCCGCGATACTCATGTCGGGGGCTCGCGGCAGCCTTAAAAAATCATATACGTCAATAAGTGACATGAATGTATTATTGCAATATCATTGAATTATTATTATTTTTTTTTTCATTTATAATACTATATTTCATTATATAAGAGATAGACCTATTTTATCTTTATCGCACCGATGACGAGATATGATAGAATTCGATACAATTAAGTGTTTACAGTGTTAGATACTAGGTGTAGATTCTATACCAAATTAAAATTAATTATTAATATTTTTATATCAGTTTTTTTTGTTCATACGAAATGTGCATGCATACAGCACTGTTGTCTCGGCAGTTGTATATTTACTGCCACTAAGTGCAGTTGTTCGATCGTACTCAATTATAGATTTATATTAAATTTTTATAAAAAATTAAGTGTAATAAAAACAATTATAAATGTGTATGTTTTGTTATGTCTACTTATATAATTTGTAATATAAAATAATTATTATACTTTTGGTTATGATAATTGATAACATGAGATGTTTTGTATAAAAAATTGTATTTAAAAAAAAAATAGTAAGTGGGACCGCGATTTCTAAAAATGTTCAAAAAATGTTCACCAGGGGTCCACGATCTACAAAAGGTTAAGAACCGCTGGTATAGTCTTTTTGAACATGAATTTTTAATAATTCGTATAAGACTAACTAGTCCATAATCTTTAAGATAGACTGCTATTTTTTCTTTGCTGAATTTGTTTTTTTCATATTTTGTTGTGTAACATGTAAAAAAATCTTTTTGTGTATTTGTCTTGCTCAAGACGTAGTTTCGCAGTATCGGATGGATGATTCTACCATAGACGTCTAAAGGTGGCAAGCAGAGGTATTAGCCCCCTGGCATTTTGGTTTTTTTTTTTTAATTGAGTTAATAATCATAAATTACTATACATATAATAAATTGAAACTGGTCATACTAAAAAATGGTCTCCATCACAGAAAATCCTGTTTAGCCATAAGTTAATAAAATATTTTATATAATACATTTTTACATTCCCAATTAATTATTATATATTAACAAACTTGCCTCCCTCATTACATTTCTGAGGGTACTTATGGATTCTACCTTTTTACTGTTATAAATTCGTCCAAAAAATGTTCGGTCTACTCGTACAATGAACGTATGAGAGGTACTCATATTAAAGTACCTATACATATTTGTTAATAGTGACAGTAAGGTAACTTTACCACTTTGGTAAGTGATGATACCCACACATATATACTGAGGCTCTCGTCAATCGTCTAAATAATATACCCATGCCGATACGATTTTTATAAAACTAAAAGAGTAACTGATTGACATTATTTATAACGTAAAAACCAATATTTATCATTCTCGTTCTCGCGATGTCTTTTTAAAACTGATTGATTTTATTGTTTTTTTCAGACGATCGTCGTCGAGGAAACCGAAAAAGAAAGAGATGACGTACTTCGGCAAAAAAGGACGGGACAAAAGCGTTATGCGTTCGATGTAGTTTTCGATGAAGATTCCACACAGGTAAAAAACACAATGAAACCTATAATTTAACGATAATGAATTGATTATTAAAACCACCCTCCTGCACGATATATTATGAAAAACCCGACAACGTCAATAATTATTAATATTTAATACTCTAATACATTTATGACCCACTATACCACCTATACATGTATTTTCAATGTCAGATACCATTTAACATTTTGTTATATACAGTATACACATTACCTATATTAGTACATTACATTTAAAAATTGACACACAGACAGATAGTTGATGCGATCATATTATAATGAACATTATTATGCGTTTGTAAAATGGCGACAACGCATGCGAAAAAATAAATTGTATTATGCATAAAAGATTAAATTAAAACTATAGGTATATACTAATATACTGGAACAAATTTTAATATTACTCCTGGCTTATAGAAAAAAATGCAAATCTAATAGACGTGCTATCTTAGTATAGTTATGAATTATGACAATACCATATTGATATATAGTTTATCAGATTTCCACCTAAAGGCTAAAGTATCATTAAAATAAAATTATTCCTGATATAATAAAATAATTAATAGTTAATTATTGGGAGTTATGTACAATCCACAAAAAAACAATTACAGCCACATTGCCATTCTTTAATGCGCAGCTTATATCAGATTTTGGGCCTCACAAAATTATTACATACACGTATAACATAATATATGGGTGTTAAAATAAAAATAAAATTTAAAAATAAAATAAATTTTTTTTATTAAATTCGTTCAGGACGAAGTGTACGAAAAGACGACGAAGAGCTTGGTGAAAGACATACTCGTCGGTTTTAACGCCACCGTGTTCGCTTATGGGGCCACGGGCAGCGGCAAGACACACACGATGGTTGGGCACGGCGGCGAGACGGGCATCATGGTCCGAGCTATTAGCGATTTGTTCGACATTGTGAGCAAAAACGCTTACCAATACACGGTGAGTGTGAATAAAACATAATATTTTAATAACAAGCTTTCAATACTGTGGTAATAATAATAATAATATATCGTACGCAATACGTGTCTCGCTTTTCGGGTATACATTGTCTTCGCATCGATCTTTATATTGTAAGTAGGTATATACTATATAGGTAGTAGGTACTACCTAAACCTACCTATTACGTACAATGTATATTATTATTATATATTATATAGTTTCCCGCTTGTTTATTATTATGTATGATTAAATGCGTAATATATGTGATGTAGTTTAAAACATAAATTCAAAATATTTGTTTTAAACATTTTTAAACAGAATAATACATATGTTTAATATTGTGATTTTTTTGGTTTATTATTAATAATAAATAATAATAAGTAACATACTTCAGAAAAAAAGTTAAAGTACTAAACAATTATATACCATCCTTCGTTTAAACAGAAAAAAACAGTTTTAAACAAAAAATGCAGTTTTTTTTTCAAAAAATGAAAAAATACACCAACTCTGGTTATGAATATTGCACAGTGGTCCCGTCGTTTGCTATGTAATATACAATCGGTAACTCAAAGTGAAAATGGGAAAATAAATTCGAGTTATTAAAAATTTCGAGATACCAAAATAAATGGCGTTTTAAAGAGAATTTATTTTTGTTTGAGGTATCGAGAATCGACTACGTACTAAAATGTATTGTTGAACAAATCCTGGTATATTGGTATATTGGTACGTCGAGGTACTTTCTAAATCTGGTTTAAACTTTAGCCACATTGCATATCATATAGATTATAAATACCTGAAAATCTGACCTCTAAACATTTCATAACATTGTAATTCATTGACTAAGTGAATATTTCTGTTAATGCATTCTTGACATGTATTATTGTATTCAATGCGTAAAATGTTTTTGAAATATTTTAGCCTTCAAATAAAATTAACGGAAGTCGATATTTTACGTAATATTAATTAAATTCAAATCCCAAGCGCATAGTATTTATATTATTTGACCCACTGCAAAATCGTGTAAAAATATATCGTGCATAGTATATCGTGTATTTATGCACATTTAATTAACAGAATAATTTCAGTTTTCTGAAACTTCTGACAACTTAACTTATATAATACGGAAATTAATTAATTTGTTAAACGATGTTATTATACCTTCATTAATGTTTATAATTTTTAACCGTACTCTAATTAATACAATATTTACCCATAGTAAAGTTCATTGAATGCATTTCGACAGTCGAGTATTAAAATTAATTTTATCCACTGGCCGTTCTAACTTCAAATAACCGACGAATATACAGTTTAGTATATACTTGAGTTATTTATTCATTGATTATAATTTATAACTAAAATAGGCTCTCTATATCATATCTAAATAGTATTCGATAATAATATTGATTAATAACATTTCAAGGATTTTACGAGTCCAATATAATAAGCACAACAATTATTATATTTTTATTTTTATTATTATAAATAAGTAATATCGCTTCAACAAAAGGCGAAGACGAATAATAGGTGTATACTCACAAATAATATTATTATTAAAATATTACGTTCCAACTTCCAAGTTATTTATTTATTAAATTTTTTAGGCAATTATTAGGTATACGTGGGTGCTCCAGTATTCCAGCAGTGAGCACCCATTGAAAATGTTTTTTTTACATATTTACACATATTAAACTTTTGTTTTTCTTTGACACACGTTGACTTTTTGATACAGTTTATGTAGAGGTATAACGATGTGTACTCTGTACTAAAATCTTTTAACCCGATTTGTGTACATGTCGTTTCAAACAAAAACGTTACCCATCACTTTCCAAGGTTTTCCAAAAATTATTATTTCATTATCAAAATAGTTAAACGTTATATACTAATATTGGAATTGTGGGTGCGCAGGTAAAAATGTCGTATTTAGAAATATACAACGAGAACATCCGGGACCTCCTGAACCCGGCGTCGGGTTTCCTGGAGCTCCGTGAAGACACGTCCAGGAACCGGAACATCCAAGTGACCGGGCTCTCGGAAGTCGTGGTGGTATCCATCGACGAGGTGATGGGGCTGCTGCACCAGGGAAACCGGCAGCGGACAGTGGAGCCGACGGGCGTGAACAAAACGTCTTCCAGAAGTCATGCGCTGCTCAGCGTAACGGTGTGCAAGGCCTCCAGGACGGCGACGGCCGTGCGGCAAGGCAGGCTGTTCATGATCGACCTGGCGGGATCCGAGAGAGCCAGCCACACCAAGGTAAGGGTACTGCTCTGGACCAGGGAACCTCCCCCTTCACCCCTGGTTAGGCCACTGCGGGGACGTAAAGATGTATCACGATATCAGCTGAATTTAATATGACATATACTGTTCACTTCCCCTACGCAATTTCAGGAACTTTTTTCTTAAATCAAACATTAAACCACTGCACGTTTTCAATTACGATTATTATAGAATCAGTATAATAATAATAGTATGAATACGGTATATCTATAAATATATAATATTATTAATATTTGCCGGATTTCAGAACCGAGGAAAACGGCTAAAAGAAGGGGCACATATCAACAGGTCTCTGCTGGCTTTGGGGAACTGTATAAACGCCCTGAGTGGAGGAACGAACCCGCGATTCGTAAACTACCGTGACAGCAAACTTACCCGGTTGCTTCGTGAATCCCTTAGCGGAAATTGTCGGACGGTAATGATCGCACACGTCAGCTCAGCGGCGTCACATAAGGACGAGACCAGGAACACCTTGATCTACGCCGCCAGGTGAGTAGTATTAAAATAATTATTCATCTATTAGTATTATCGTTTCACTTGTTTATCTGTAATATAATAATTATTTTACAGTTGTATATTGTCGAAAACAATTAAGGGTTCTTTTATAGGCATAAGACTATAAAAATGTATAGACTCACACAGCCATAATCACAAATATTCACAATGCCATCACTAAATTCACCCATCGTTTTAGGTATCGGAGAGGAAAATTTAATTATGAACTATACAGTTGTAACTGAATCAGAATAGGGTTAGATTGTTAATTATGGGGCTGGGGTTTTTATGAAATCTTATTTTCTTCTGGTATTATGAAAGGTAGCTCAAGGTACTGATTATTTTAATGATATTTTTATTTTGATATTTTTACACATTCAACGTTAAAGAGAATTTTTCCATGTTTTTAGAACTTCTTTCATAATTTATTTTTTTAACAAACGTACCTAAATATTATTGTAATAATACGCACTATATTGACAGTGGTATACATGTAATATACTGTAGGTACTCAATACACACTGACCTGCAGTGACCACCTTGCTCATTTCTACCATAATCAATAAGCAATCGGTACATAATCGTTAAGTATTTGATATACTTAATCAATGCTATAGGATAATCAAAGAGGCAATAACAATACTTGAGTATTTACATAATTTTAAGTTTTATTATACACTTTTAGTGTCATTAGTTGAGCAGTGAGTTAATTTATACTTTCTCGCAGAGCCAGTGGTATCTCACACAAGGTCGAGAGGAACGTTTTGAACGTGTCGTTTCAAGTGAATCAGTATAGGTCAGTTATATCGGACCTACGTAACGAGATCTCTCGGCTGAGAACGAAACTGGACGAGGGCCGGACAAAGTCTTCGAGCGGCCAGCACAGCGATACGCCTGTGAACCAGATAAGAGACCAGATTGTAGGCACGTTTCGTGAACAAATGAAGCTCAGGTACAGGGTCTATCTATACTGCGGTTAGGTAAACGCTGGATCGGATATAGGGTGTTGGGGTGGGAAAGCTGAGTTTTCATCCCCGTGCGTAATATTTTCTCAATTTTTTTTTATGCATCGATGTATTTTTATTTTAAATTTAATACACTATATATTATTGATAGACCATAGATCAGCCAAGTAGGAAACACAATCGATGTATATGGATTGTCATTTTCATATTTGAAAACAATATGAGTGTATCCCGAAAATGAGTTTCACATAGATTTCAACTTAAAATGTTTGATTGAATCCTAATCTTTGACATTTACAGAAATAGTTAGAATTATATGCATAGTAAACATTATATGAGTGGGAACTCAGCGTTCATGTAATTTTTGGTCAACAATTGGAAATTCAGGACAACAATATTTCACAGCCACCCTTCTCATTGCACAAATCTTCACTTAAAGTTCTTTGCATACTGAACTCTATATTCTGTTAAATTTAAGAAACGTAGTCAGCGGTCGACTTGTGCTCAGGTTCATGGAAATACTACCCGTCAGGTATACAGATAATTTACTGGGTGCGCCGGGTGCGGGCTACAAACGGGTGTTGAGTGACTGCGGCCCGACGAAAACTGGTCGCCGCCGACTACGTTTCTTAACTTGAACAGAGTATAGAAATCACTCCATATAGATTTACAACCAATATACATCGATAATGGCCGTGACAAACTTTACAGACGAAAGCTGATGGACATCGACGGACACCTGTTGTCGTTGGGCGTGGAGGCCGAACGGCAACACCAGATAATCAGCCAATGGGAATCGAGAAACAATAGACTGTACTGCCGGAGGACCAGTAGCCAACGCAGGCCAAACACCAAGGGTTCCAACAACACTTCAAGTGAGACAACATTATACTAGTACATAACATATATGAGCAGCATATTAACCTAAATATTTTAAGAGAATTTGATTTGGTGTTTTTGCCCACTCTATTCCTGATATAAACTATTTACTACATAAGTACATAACATATTATGTGCTATCATCCAGCACTCAATTCTTTTACCAGTTAAGCTGTTCTGGCTCTTAATTTCCCTCATAATATACATTAATTTTTAATTACATCTCATAAAATATGTGTAGATACTTAGTACTTACTACTTACCTACTACTATCTTTACCTAAAGGTGTGCAGGTTAATGAAAATAATTAACTAAAGTTAAGCAAAGTTATGTGAACACAAGACCTTAAAGTTAGAAGATAATAGTTGGCAAATAACAAATTTAACTATCTAAGTTTAAAGTTAATATGGTAAAAACTAAAAAATATTAACTAAACTCGGTTAAAAAAAAAATGAATTTACTTTTTTGATTGATATGTGGACAATGAACCACATAAAGAATATGGTTTGCACATATACTATGTACATTATACATGTGTAATATTATTATTGTATCAGGAAACATATTTAACAGAAATTATTTAATTATAATATATTATTATAGTATTATATTTATTTTTATTTAAAGCCATATATACTTTATACAGTAGGTAATTAATGTATGAATCCATTAAAACTAAAAATTTCAAAAATATTTTTAATTTTATAACTTAACGCCTAATAGATTATTTTTAATTTTTAATGTTATTTCAATAATCACTTAAACTAGTGAAGTTCTTAAGTATTGTTGGAAAAGTATAACCGGCAAGTTAAATCAAACATTTCAAAAAAAAATTAAACTTTTTAAGTAGGTAGGTATCTACTTAATGCAATAATGCTCATATTTGAAGCTCTACCTATGATTAACATATTATAATATACGTACCATAACCTATACAACATTGTGAAACATTATAATTATCCCAACGGAAATATAATATAATAATATATACACGCATTTACGCAGACACGGATTCCTTAGACAACGACCAGCTAAACATGCACCAGGCGTGGTCGGACCTGAGTTACATTGAACACGAACAGGAAAGGTACGTGGCGTTGAGGTCCAAAACAGTGAGCGAACTGGACGCGGTCCGGCAACAGGCAGTGGCCTTAGAAAATGTAATAAACGCTTGAGGTGTTCGAGGAAAATTCTCTAATATGTTATTTAAAAAATCCATTTTCTTTCCCCCTAGAACCTTCCGAAACGTTTGGATTCGGAGACGGAACGCGAGCTGCTCTCGTTGATATGTCGTGTCCATGAGTTGGAAGCCGACAAAATGGCGTTGCAAGGTGAACGGCTAGTCGAGTCGTACGAGCTGCGCCGCAGAGGAGATCTGTTGCACAAGATGCACCGGCAACAGCGCATAACCGATGATATTATCACGAAACAGCGGCAAATCATCGAAGGTATAAATGTATAATATTATAATATCAAATATGTATCATGTAAGTATGTAATGTGTTCTGAGTCGTACTGAGGTTGGACGTGTTAAAGGGGTGGCAGTGTGGAATGAAATGATTCCCTTTAGCTATATTATATTATAGGAACTTGAGTAGGCGTAGTAATTAATACTTATTTTGAAACGGTTACGAAAAAGATCATAATGCCAATAGTGCGGAGAAATGTTTGGTATAGGTACTATAAACACTAAGAACTGTAATTTTTGTTTTGAATATAGTTTAAAACAGTATATTTAAAATAACTTAATTTTAATTTAATATGTAATTTACTTACATGCCAATATTCTTGGTACTAGTATATGGTCCACTGTTTAATTATTACTTACTTACTTTAAATCTTAAAAGTATTTGAAATGTATTTTAAATATTTTCTGAATTGATGTTTTATGTGGACATTATATTATGTATAAGTTAACTATTAAGTAAAAACATTTTAAATTTGGTAATTTATTCAATAAAATTTAAAAAAAAAATTAAAATGAATGATGGTAATTATTATTTATTATTAATAATAAACCAAAAAAAAAACACAATATTTAGATGGATTTTACACTGTTTGAAACATGTTTTATTCGTTTTAAACAATGAACAAAACGTTGAAAACAAATATTCTCAATTCATGTTTTAAACATAACAACCATGATAAGATAATAGATAATGACATTTTCATCTAGATTCTAGATAAATATGACAAACACTGAGTATGGCGCATGTATGAGAGGGGTTGAAACTTGAAGGGTACCTACATCATATTGCAAACTTTGATAAATTGAAAAAATTGGAAATTTGGAATGTGGTATAGATTTATAACTTAAATAGATATGTATAATATTATTACTTCCATCCAAACATATGCTTTATGTTTTTCGTAATATATTTTAACTTTTATATGCATATTGAGAGAGATAATCTACTATATTATATAAAGAGGATATTGTAATGTGGTTGGATTTCCGATTTATCAGGTCAAAACATGCCGTTACCGACCGATCTGAAAGAGCTGTACCGGTCGTACCAGCAAGAAATACACGCCAACTCGTACAATACGGACGTAAACGCTTTACCACTGACGTCCACCATGCAGTCAATCGACAAGAGGTACGCAGCTGTTGTTATTGATAAATTCGAACGTAAACAACTATTTGAAATTTATAGCTATAACCAGTATTTAAAATCAATGTTATTAATAGCCTTAATGGTGGTACTCTGACTGCGTCTCACCTAAACTTTGTCCAGCGAGAGAAAACGCCTCGGAAAAATCAGTTTTTCTAGGCTTCCCCTGCACGCGACACCCTGCGTCCCTGCCATGGGGGAATCGATTTCTATAGCAATTAGCAACGTGAAGTGAGGGTCTCTTGCTGGACGCAGTATAGTCCCCAGTAATTTAACAGTAAAATAAAAAAGTATCTTATTAAAAAAATTACATAGTCATACGAAGTTAATTTTTGTAAAGAATAAATACAGTGATTTTTTTTTACTAAAAGTATATTTAGAAATAAATGTGTTTACTTAATACACCAATTATATTTTTACATAACACTAGCTGAATAATCCAGCTCCGATCCTGAAAATGTGTACGTTGTCGTTACAAAATATATAAAAAAAACTTTAAAATTAAAATGATTAAATATTTTAAAAATATAATATTTTTTAAAAGTTATTTTTCAATGACATGCATTTATGTAAAAATATTTTCTAAAAAGTTAAAACTTTTCGAAATAATTATAATTAATTAAAAATGGGTACTCCCGCGCACTCAGGTGTATATCTTAATCCTCCTGATTAAATAAGCACAGTCCCTCCGCTTGTATAATATAATTTTGTTATAAGATATATTATTATGCTGAATTTCTGCTGTAGTATATACAGTTTAATATGTCTAATCCTATATTGTTCAATGTTCAGTCGCTTCAGCATTGTGCTCGCTTAGACCTAGTCACCTATCATGACTACCTAAATAGTTGCCAAAACTTAGTGCACAATTTTTACATAAACAACAGTTATATGTATAATAGTACCCTATTAATATGTGTTATAAATTGCAGTTTCGAGAAAGCTACCATCGACGACCAACCTGAAAAAAATAGGACGTATACCGCGGAAAGTCGTGTTCAGCCGATTACGCCGGAATCAAGACTATTCACGACCTCGAGGTACCTATAGGCAATATACAGAGAGATTTATACCATTTAATCGAATACTTTCTGGCGATATCAACTTCTCTGTTTCCACCCTTCTCTCAAAAAATTGTACACTCAAGCTAATATTAGAATAAACAACACACTTTCTAATAGCTTTAGAATTTAGAGAGAAGTTTGTCAAGGGTGTATCCTTTGCCTTTTTCAATCTATATTCAAAAGAAATAATGTCAGAGGATGATGTCGAAGGAGGGCATAGTTTTAAATAAAAGGTTATTAACAACCTAAGATACGACGATGACATTATATTGATGCTTGCAACATATATGACCTACAAAAGATACTAAACAAAGTAGTATCTAATAGCTAATGAAAACTTAGGTTTAAATTTAAATAGGTACTAGAAAACCCAAATATATAGTAATCGAGTAATCGATAATGGACAAGGCTCGATAAAATATGTGCTCAGACTCAATAATAATACCCCCTTAGATAAAGTAAATAAGAATTCGAATAAATGGATTATTAAAGTGAAAAAATAGAATGAGCATGTTAGGTAAATCACTCTGTATATACCTTTTTTATTTTTTTATTATTATTATTTATTTATTTTTTTTTTTTATTGATCTTGAGCCCGGCAACTAAGGCCATTAGCTATTTTTAGTTTTTGTTGGTAGGAGGAGACACTTGTGTGTTTGTTTGGCAGAATTTTTGATTTGGGCACCCGTAGGTATCTGCCATGCCCGGGTAGGGGATGGCGGCACTTGTTCTCCGGACACCGTGACTGGCCCGAAGAAAAATGCCGCCCATGGCCGAAGTATCGAACCAGCATCGGCTGAGTTACAACCGACGCCTTAGTCCGCACGGCCACTCCGTCCCTCCCTTTTTTATTTTATACACACTATTAATGGCGTGTATAAAATACGTGTGTATATAAGAATACATATTAATGTGGATTCTTGTACACACGTAAATTAGCATAATATAAAATTGTATTTTTACTATTTTCGCATACCACGTGCAGATAGTGACAAAACCGTTTTCCTAACAATATTATTGTGTTCAGTTGCGCCGAAATAAATTTATTAATATTATGTATTCATGTAGGACAACTGTGACTCGTGAGATCATACCTTGATTATAGAACTTATAATTGGTCGAGTGGGTGAACCTTCAATGATGAAATTTCGAACCTACCAAACATAATATTAAAATATATTACATTATCGTAACATATAAATCCGCATGATTGCATAGTATATATTATAAGTACTTCGGTGCCACTGAATTAATATAATATAATATTATGCTAATGCACGCTCGACACTATCTGTTCGTTACAGCAACGAGAGCTTGGCTGCTGGCTTCGACTGGGAAAAGGACTCCGGAAGTTTGCCGCCTATCAATCAATCAACTGTTGTTCCACACTCCAGAGACGAAATCCCGTCACCCGTCCCGGCTTCAGTGCTGTTTCCTCCGATTTCCAATCGCTTTCGATAAAGTTTTTCGATTCTTCCCGTTCCCCCATTTATGTCTAAAATATAAATAAAAAACAATAGGTTTAATATATTATTATACAGTATACACGTCCGTACGACGTCCAGATGTCGAGTATCGCATAGTTTAGGTACCAGCTATTACTGTAATTTGTTTTTCTTCAACTTCAATACATCGATTTCATATTATATAGATATTTATTATTTATTTTATTCACTTATTGTCATAAAAATAACAATTTTAGGCCATACTATGTACTAACTGTTTGTGCGAAAAATAAATAATTATTGCATTGGCTATAAGGCTATATCTGTGATCTGATGTATAAAATAATAAAGGTACTCGTCTAGTCGTCTATGGCATAATATGCTACCTACCGCTACTTCGTTGGTACCTATATAGATGTAGTAGGTATATGCTATGTAACGTAAAATGATACTTACCGAAAAACGTTTACCTATAGGTACTGATTGTTGATTAATAACACATTAACAACAATAAGTACCTATTAATAACAATTTATTAACTAATTTATCAAACTAAAACGTACTTAATGTATTACTCATCTAAGGCTCGGAATTAATGACCTTAAAAACAATAAAAAATTACCTAAAAAAAATGCAATATGACATAAAAATGACAAAAATGTCCTTAACAAATGAAATAAAAAAATTACAAATATTTGTTTTATAAATTTATCAAAGTTTACAAATTACTTAAAAATCAAAATCATCGTACAATTTGATGCTATCAAAAGTAAATGAACAACGATTATCTGTTAATAAATATTTATATTTGGAAAAACTTCTCTCCACGTCCACTGAAGTGATTGGGGAAAATTTTAAATGGGCCAAACCATCAGCACTGAAATCATTTTGAAAACACTCACTTAAAGCTTCTTTATCATTTAGAATTTTCGAAATTGTTGACATAGTTTGAAATCCAGTATTTTTGTCAAGTACAGCCTTAAATTTGTTTTTAATTCCATTTCTAATTCTATTAACTGCTAATGATTCAATTTTAATTGAAATATCTTGTACAATTTGTATCAAATCATAAAGCTTGAGTCCTGAAGTTTCTAACTTGGTAATAGAATCGGCCAGAGTTCCAAAGTTTGTGTTAATGCGCCTATGTTTGAATATGAATAATAGCCACCTTAACCACGGTGATATAACAAAACGGCTCTAAAAGTTGAGTTATAATTTTATAGATCTTTGAATTATAGAAATCTTTTATGTTAAAATAATCTGCTAAAATTGAATTTATCTTGGTGAGTTTAAAACAATTGATTACGCTTCCTATTTGGCTATTTCAATGATAATAGATAGTAATGGACAATGGTATATTATTATGTACCTAATTAGTCATTATATTACAGTATTTTTAAATTTTTGCCGATTAGTGTGTGTTTTGCCTATGTGTGTATTTTAAGGCACTCTTTTCTTTTCATACTTCGGGTCGTTGGAGACACAAGTGCCACCTAGTTAATAAACTATAATTCTGAACGTTAAACATGCAAGAATTGTTGGTAGAAATCAATGGACTTGACGCAGATAAATAATAATTTATATTTTGTGTTTGAAATGATAACCTTGACAAACAATGTCACATACCATGCTATTTATAAAGCCATACATTTGTGACAACAAAACGTACCTATACAACTATTAAACTGAAAGCAATATAATATTATTGTCAATTTACTCAAATTATAATAGATACCGACAAAAATACACTTGTGACAGTAACGTAGCTAAATAGCCTATACAGAGTTCCGTGTTATCGTTATTATAAAATACTTGAGACTTGAAAGTTGAAACTATTCAAACTAATAATATATTAAATACCTATATTGATTATTGTAAATTTGAAAAATAAATAATTAATAATAATACACGTCATATCATATTCTAACAAGGCAGATTCCTTCATTAAAAATGTTACGGTAGGAACTATTTTATGAGAAACCTTGTTTAAAATGTTCAATCATTAGAGCAATCTATATAAATTAATCATTTTATAATTTATTGTTCAACCAACATAATAATATGCAATTTTCCGTGATTTTATAGAATTTTGTCAACATTTGAACTTTTTTTTATGCGTCTTTAAATTTTAGCATAAATTCACACTAATATTTCGTGAGTCAAAATAACAGAATTTTGAAAAATTATATTAAGTTTGAAATTCATAACTGCGTTTTTAGCGTTTTATAATATAAGATTTTAAAATTGAATTCAAGATTCCTTAAAAATGTTCTAACTTTAACCAAAAAAAAAAAATGCCTACTGGAAAGATAAATTAATTATTTATGAGTGTTTGAAGATCAAATTTTTACGTATTGTACCATCTGTATTCACTATAGATTTCTCTTTTAAAGATTTTCTTAATTGTTTTCCAAAAATGAATAACTATAGGTATACTTACTTGAAATGTACACCAAATGTTTATTTTATCAGTTTCTATACTTGATAACATTTTCAAAAGAATTTGACTAGGTTTTATTTTAACTGTTTACGGTTTTTTGATGTGTAAACATCTATGCTATCGGTTTGTAGTACGACCTTCTTGGGGAATCGAGCGTCAGGCGTAAGTCATGTAGATGTGACTGCTTGAGTGTGTGTGTGTGTGTGTGTGTGTGTGTGTGTGTCGTCACCATAGCGCTAAAATCGCAGAACCAATAAACCAGGCGAGTTGCTTATATCTATTATTTTCTTTGTTATTTTAACGAGTCTGGTAACCTAGTGCCAACGCGCTCTGGTACAGTCGTCGGCCGATTCATTATTATTTATTATTCTCGTTTACGTATACGCGCGAAACCGTGTTTGTATCGTATAATATGTATTATACAAATTCCCACTCAAACCATGACATTATATTCCCCAATCAAAGTCGTACTACAGCTAAGATGTTTACACATCATTCGTGAGTACAAAGGCACTCACATTTTCGTATACAATGATATGATATCATTGAATTCAAATTTAAAACAACCCATTATACAGTTTCCAACTTGTAACCTACTGTGCAGCAGAGCGACATCCACTTACCCGCTTTTTTGTTATTATTTGAATTTAAATTTGATGTCTAATTTGAGAACCTCTCACCTTCAACCCAAGCTTTTGCTTATAGGAGGTCAGCAAACTTACAACTGTATTTATATAATTAAAAATGTGTTGGGAATTGTTTGCAAATAAAATAAAATTGTTATTATATTATTATTATTGTTAACGCGCTCGAAATTCTAATGCTGCGGGCCGACCAGAACGATAAACATACTAGCTGGCTAGTAACACACACCGTCGTCTGGGAGATTTTCTCGGAGATCCGTCTATGTGTTGAAATATTCTTATTTATCTCATTTCTAACTCTCGATCGAATCCTAAAGTACACTCAAAAATTATCTTCGTAATTCAAAACATAAAGTATGGCAACTAACAACTGCGACATCGACCGCGCTGCGGTAAACGTGTTATTGATGGAAATGTTGGTGGATATTTTTACGGACAAAATGGAAGGAGCTCTTGCTGATAAAACGGAAGAATATCTCGTTCGTCTAGTCGCGCCCATCCTGTCTGCCATTGACACGGTCACCACTACTGGTGACGTTCAGACCCTGGAGTCGGAGTCCGGAGACTCGACTCTCGGAGGTGCAGTGGGAGAGGCGTCGGCAGAAGACGTCGAGGAGACCGTCTCCTCGCACGGTGATGGAGTGCCGAGCGGCGACGCGCTGTCGTCTGCGGCAGAGTCGGAGCTAGCTCCGATCCCAACGACAGCACCGCTCGGCGACGAAGACACGACTGTACGGGAAGACGGAGATTCCAAAGTTTTGGAAGCAGCTGAGGACCTTTCCATTTTGGGTCCAGAAGTGCGGGGCGAAAAGATCGAGACCGCCAGGGGAGAAGCGGCGTTCAAAAATTTTGGCGAGCTTGTCGGTTGGTCAGACCCGGCGGCCGAAGCACCCGAAGTCCGCAGCGATGCGCCTCCAAAGAGGTGGAAGAGCCTGAGACGCTTCTTCCGCTGCCTTTGCTGCTTCTGCCGCTGATAAGGAGACGTCCGAAGCTCGCCCCCCTGGGCGAAGACGGCGGACAGGAAGACGGCGACGGAATGGAGGGGAGGATGCGGAAAGAGCACGGACGGTGCGCGGTGATAAGTCACCCGCGCACGTTCTCCGACCTGCACCCGCGGCGCGACGGGTTAGCTGGCGTTGCGAGCTCGGTCGTCGATGACGCGCGAGACCCTCTGGCGGCTCGGCGAGCGCCCGACGGCAGTCACGGTCACGCGGAGCGACGGCGACGGTGGACGGCGACGGCACGGCGGCTAGTATAGAGGTACCGGGCAACGATTCCGCCCCGACGGTACACCGACTCGGTGCGACGGCGATGGCGACTCGGTACGACGGCAGCGGCGGAGACCTAGGCACGGGGTGAGTGGTACGGAGATTTGCGTGCTAGGAACACGGGGACGTCAGCGGCGCCGGACTCGCAGAGACTTAACCGTTTCAGGGTTGGCGGCGCGCGGAGGCTGAAGGGACGACGCCAGGGCGAAAATTACCGAGAGTCGAGGATCACGCTGTGGACCGCTGGCTCTCGCCTTTTCGCCCCGCGATAATCCCACGTCGGCCGCTTCGGTCGTCCCCACCGGTTCCACAGCACAGGATCTCACTTCGCTCGCTCAGCGTCTTGGTCTTCGCCGTCCGTCGGCCGAGTCGTCACGCCGTCGACCGTCGGTACGCGCAAGACATCGCGCACTAGCCGCCGTCCGTCGCCTTCAACCGTGGTCGCTCCCGTGGCCGTCTCGGTCTGGCCTCGCCGGCTGGGCAAGGTCGTCAAGCGTCCGAGCAAACGCGCCAGGGACACTCGTCAATCCGCGGGGACAGGTCGGAGAACGTGCAGAGGTGACCAGTGGCCAGCAACACTGCATTTCTGCACCAATCGCCATCTCGCATCCTCGCCCCCTTGTTTATTGTGTCTATCCTGTCCGTTGTATTTTTTTTTCTTTAA